GTTCCAGGTTTCTCGGACCGGCCCATATCCAGGTTCCGAGATTGGTTCCTATAATATTTTGTATACATGTCGTACGTATATATGCATTATGAAAGTGAAAGTTGGGCTACGGCAGGGTCTAAAACTTTCCACAATAAACATTGGTTTTGGCATAACTTACAGACACTAAAAATTGACAAGGCTAACAACTTTTATTGATAGAGTTCTGAAAAAATATCAGGTTACATATTTGGAATCCAACACATTAGACACAAACAAAAAAGGAAAAGGACAAGAAGCATTTGTACGTGGCTCATCGATCAGCTGCATCAATGGCCTCTTGATAGACATGGGAGAAATAAATCCGGAACCCATAGATAGGGCACATACCCCTAATATTAAGCATATACGCCTAATATTAGGTATTAGGTGCTGTACCTAATGTTCACATCGCATTGTTAACATCATAAAAGAGGTTGTAGGGTATTAGGAATTTAAGTGAAGGACATTGTGACCCACAGAGAACAGACTGAAGGGCTCATTTGTGCACCTCGCTATCTATAATTCAGTGGAGAGAGAAAAGCGAGCGTGGTGATTTAAAATGTTTTTTTTGCAATGTGTATGGAGAGAAAAATACGGTTGCTGATGCATTGAAAAAGGTTTGAGCTCATGCGGCTGAAGAGCTTTTAGTTAATGCCTTTAAACCATTTTTATTTGGAGGATAGGTGTTTGGAAAAAGTTTATATAGAGCCGAGGCTATAAACAATCAAATTAGACCCACCTCAAAAATTTCACTAAAAGAGATTGTTTTAATGCCAAAGCATCATCAAATTGATCATCTCGATATCAAGATGCATGAACATGAGAAAAAAATGGATTTCAAGTTTTGGAAATAATGCATCTTGTAACTTATTTTTTGGACCATCAATTTTCAAGATTTTCAAGTGTCTATAGATCTGCTCGATCTACACTATTTTTAAGCTTTAAATTTAATAATTAAAGATGAAAATATGAAGCTTTAAATTTTATAATTAAAGTTAAAAATATGTTTTAAGGCTATCACAAAGATTTCCGGTATTGAAACCATATTTCTCAACACTATTTGAAGGTGAGGTTTACTTTGATTATTTAGAGCCTCCGCTCTATACAAACTGCACCATAGTTTTATTTTGTAGGAAAAAGTTTTATTTATTTTCTCTTTCTGGGTGTTCGTATAAGTGACCATTTACCTTTTGGTACAAGGTGGTCCCAATTAATGTTCACCATTAAATGTGAAATTGGGCAGTTACATTTATTCCATTAATAAAGCTCAAACATCAAATGGAATTTTTTCAAACATTACGACATATCCAAGCTATTAAATTTCGCATTGATTATAGGTAATTGTGACCCTCTTGTATCAAACGTATACGATCTCTTGTATCAAACGTATACGATACCTTTTTTATAGTCATTATATTTGATGTTGTATTGAATTGTAAGTTTTTGATGATACAATAAAAGTTGCTAACGATTTGTCAAAAAGAAAGAGAGAGAGAAAGGATTTGAAAACATGGGGGCGCATATTTCTCCCAATATTAATGAGGCTCGGGACGGTGGGGCGGCTCCTAAAGGAATGGGAGTCATGTGGCTCAGACAGCCTGTATTTAATGGCTCTAAGTGAGAATCATGGTAGGGGTTGGGCGCCTGAGGCTCCGATCCCTTTCACTCCTCCCCCTAATACCGCCCATGCGTGTCACCCTTTAGAGCTCGTTTCGACAAAGGCCGTTTCTCCCTCTATAAACAAGGACTAAATGGGCGCATGCGTGGGTCTTCAAATGATGCTTTGGTACTGCCCACATTCATCTTCTCTCCTCTAAAACAAACTCGATCCACCATTTCAACATGTATTTTTGTAACAATTACATATAAAGCCTTTAAAAATATGTATGAATGAACTTCTATTGTATTTCACTCATAGCTCAACACTTTTTAAAATCTATTAGATGGTACCGATTGCCCGATAATGTTTGGATATGAACCTTTTTATAAATTTGATCAACTTCAAATTTTGTAGATGCGTGTGCCTCAATAAGGCCCACCTAAATAAAATATAAAAATTCTTTAAATAATAAAATAACCAAATTACCTTTATAAATTTTTAGGGGCATTTTCATATTTTTAATTTTTGTTAATTATATTTTGTGAAATTTATCCAATTACCTACGGGAGGAGCAATCTAACACTTTTCCCATATCTTTTTGACTTCGTTCCAAAGCACCCATAGAAAATACATGGTTTGGTGATTGAATAGTTGGAAAGTACCATAATGTTAAATACACGATCTCTAATGGGTATTTTGATAAATTGGCAAAGTATGGTAGAAATTCACTCACGAGTGTTTATATATATAATCATCCGAGATTTGTCTTAACAATTTGGGGTCTACTACAATAGTCTTGTTTTGCCATTCCACTCTATTAAGGACTATACCCTCATTTAGACCTTAAATCATCATATCTCTTCTCACTACTTACATCCATGTCTTTTAAGCTTTTCCTTTGCTCTTTTGGAGCCTTTCACCTGAATCATATCGGCCCTCCTCACTGGTACTATTCTAGGTCGATACTGTTCATGACTAGCCCGCCTAAGTCAACTTTCTCTTATCTTGTCACCTATTGAAATCACCCCTAAGTTCCCTCAGAGGTATTTATTCCAAATTCTATATTTTCTTGTCTTGTCACTCATTCATCTCAACATCCTCATCTCATCTACACTCATTTTATAGATATGTTATTTCTTGATTGTCCAATATTCCATCTTATAAAAGCATGATTGGTCTTACAACTATTCTTATAAATATCCCCTTCAGTTTCATCGATATGTGGTGAGCACGTAAACTCCGGACGCACATTCCACTTCGTCCATCCAACTACACTTCTATATGTGACGTCTTTCTCAATCTCTTCATTCTCACGTATTATCAACTCCAAACAATGAAAGCAACTATTTTTAGGTATTTCTTGGCAATACAATTTAACTAATACTTCATTTCTACTCCTATTATTACTAAACTTGCATTCCATATATTATGTTTTCGTCAGGTTAATTTTAAAACTTTTAAATTCTAGAGCATCCCTCCAAAAGTTCACGATTCACGAAATGATGTGGTAAAGTTTTAAGTCAGCTTCCACCTAACGTAGACCGTCCCCCTTTCTCTAGCTTGGGACTAGCATGATCGGCTCGGGATTGGCCATGGCAGAATCATAAATAAATATGTGTGTGTATGTGCGTGTGTGCGTGCATGTGTGTGTGTATGTGTAAGGTTTGTAAGGTGCCCACCTTATAGTATACAAATAAGATAGTACACAAGTAATATGCAACTCTAAGTTTTATTAGAAGAGGCAATTCTGGGGTCGGGAACTTTACGATGCCTTGAAAATTAACATTCAACCATAATTATAAAATTTATAATTCCAAAAATAATACAATTTGAGCAAATGAATAAATACTTTGAAATTTTGAAAATAAATTATCTATATAACATATTAAACTCTTTTTAGAGCCCTCTATTCGTTTTTTTTCTTTATAGCATACGTCACGAGTTTGAGATGATCAGTAGGAAATACTTAGGGACATTCTTTTGTACAGGATTTTTTTTGGTCATTTTTGAGGTACATGTTACTATATATATGTGTATATATATGTTCATATGTGAGGACACTATATACTTACTCCTTCTAGCAAATGATATGCTTAGGAAGAGTACACTATATACGTACTCCTTGTAACAAACGATATACTTAGGAAGATTGTTTAATCTCAATTTTTGGAATTCATTTTAAAATCATTAAACTATAATTTTGTTTCAAAAACAACATAATGCTGGCTTCCTCACCACTTATATCTAATCATCCATAAAGTAGAATCACCCTTGTTTATTCCTAGGACATTAATTTATTCAGTTACATCTAGAGTGCATTTGAGGTTGGTTGTTAAGTTTAAGTCATACATTCTCCTAAAGAAATTGCAAAATAGGGTTTTAGCTCGGGAAGTGAATGAATGATTTGCCTAGTATAAAACATTAATAATAAGAAAAAGTTTATATAAGTGAGAGGCCCTAAACAAACAAATTAAGGCGCGTCTCAAAAATTTATTAGAAGAGGTTGTTTTGATGCTCAAAACTTCTCAAATCGATCATCTCGACCTGAAGATATATGGACATGATTAAAAAATGGATTTCAAGACTTGAAAATAGTGCATCTTATAATGTATTATTTGGACTGACAATTTTCAAGATTTTCAAGTGTTCATAGATCTGCTCAATCTGCATTATTTTTTAAGCTTTAAATTTTATAAGTAGGGATGAAAATAAACTTTAAAGTCGCTACAAAGATTTCCAATACTAAACAACATCTTTCAACCCTATTTGAAATTGCACTTTACTTTAACTATTTAAGACCTCAGACTTATACAAATTAAACCATAAGAATATGGCCCATAGTGTAACTCTCCTAACATAATGGAGTATGTTTTTTTTTTTTTGGGTGAATGAATGGGGATATTGGTCCTTATCCGTGGGAGGGATGATACACACATAGAACTTATATATATTTAGACTGACAACTTTACGTCTCTTGCTCTCAAAACAATGAGAAGCCCTACCCTAGGGGTGGGGTGGGGTGGGGTGCACATTTTCACCGAGGGCGGGTGAAGATAGGAGAAGGGGATTGGTTTTTAGAAAAATGGAGGGAGACTTGGGGAGAGAGGCTTGGTAGTAGGGGAGTTCAACCACCACCTACCCCTTTCCTTGGCCAACAACGGATTTAATGTAACAATGAATTCATTATCTGCTACCTGCTAGTACGTGTCGAGGGTGCTGCACCATTTTTCTACTCTTTCTCTCTCTTCGCACTTTTAAGCCATGCTCCTCCCACGCCACAAGACTCACACTAACTCTAGAGACACAAACCTCTGTATTTTTCAAGGGGAATTCCTTGTAGAGTGGGTCTCCCCCCCCCCCCCCCCCCTTCCCCCTTAAACCCCATTTCCACTAAGAACCCATGACCACTCGTCTTGAGAGAGAGAGATAGCGTCCCCATCGGTCTAGCTTGAAAGCTACCCCAGGAGAGAGAAGAGACTGTCTTCTAGAGAGAGTGTGTTTTTAGAGAGAGAGAGAGAGTTACCATGTCTAGTGATTCCACATAAGTAGAGGTGCCAAAGGGTGGGATTTTCTCTCTCAAGACTCACAACAATGGTGGCCACTTCTTCAGCCAAAATGGTAGCAGGAGCTTTAGTCATGGCTTCTGGTTTTGCTCTAGAGGCTGTAAGCTTTTTAGTGTTCAGCGTTTTAGACCTCTTGGACGTGGTTCTGTGTATTGTTTACAAAGTGATCGACTACGCAGTGGAATCAGAGTGGAGACCATGTTACTGCTCTTCGGGGAAGGAAGCCATTACAAGTAGTGGCAAGATCTTGCTCTCAGAGCAAGGGAAAACGAAGATAGTGTGCCTCTGTTCTAGCAAGCTCCAACTAGAGGACATATCGGACACACTGTACACGAGAGTCTCACGTGTGTCGGAGATGTCCAGGTTGACGGCCGCGAGGCTGGCGAAAGTGGCGGAGCAGCGGGTGGTGAGGCCGAGAGAGAGGTTGATGGGAGGGTCTGTGCGCTCGACCTTTCGGATCAACTCGACCATTGTCGAGATGTTGCAGGGGAGGGTTAATGGCGCACACCCTGTGCCCCGATGGTCCGACTGTGATTGCAAGACCTGTCTCTCTTGGACCTCTTCCTCTAAGGAGACCCTTTATGTCCACACTGATGGCGCAAAAGGTATCTCTCTTAGAAACATTGCAGTGTCACTCATTCTCCTACTTACTTACTGTAATATTTATGCAATTTTTTCTTCCATCTTGAACATAAAAAAGGAAAATGCACCTTCAAAATGTACTAAGCTTGTGAAAATGGTGGCTCCTAATCTATGATACAGGGGACATTTTGGGAAAGGAATGCACAGACGTCCTCTTCATCCATGGCTTCATTTCTTCATCTGATTTTTGGACTGAGACCCTGTTCCCAAACTTCTCCAAAGACGCAAAATCAAGGTATCGACTCATCGCTGTGGACCTTCTCGGCTTCGGTAGAAGCCCAAAACCGACGGACTCACTGTACACATTGCGGGAACATATCGACATGATCGAGCGGTCGGTGCTCGAGCCCTTCAGGGTCAAGTCCTTCCACATCGTGGCTCACTCCCTAGGCTGCATTCTCGCTCTTGCCCTCGCCGTCAAGTACCCTGGCTCGGTCAAGTCCCTCACCCTTCTCGCACCGGTAAGAACCCACATCCCACCAAAAGAAACAAGAAAAAAAGCTCTGGTTTTAGTTTTTGGATGAGTGAAAAAGCTCTGTGATCAAGCAAGCGATTGAATCGCCAGTGTGTTACCAAAATCTTTAAACGCAGCCATATTTTCCAGTACCCAAGGGCGAGGCGTCCAGCCAGTTCGTGCTCCGCCAGGTCGCTCCACGCCGCGTGTGGCCCCCCATCGCCTTTGGCGCATCGGTCGCATCCTGGTACGAGCACATAAGCCGCACCGTATGCATCATCTTGTCGAAGCACCATCGCCTGTGGCACTTCCTGGCTCGCCAAATCACCGATAACCGGTCAGTCACCCCACCCACTCTCTCTCTCTCTCGCTGTCTTCGATATCCACCTTCTCACTCTTTTCCAGCTTCTTAGTTTGTTCGTTTTGGTAACTAAACCAAACAACTTCTTATTCCCAGTCTCTAAGCTCTTTCCCATTTGTTGTTTGGTTGTTAGGATAACAGTTAATAATATCAATAGTAAAACGTTTATATAAGTTTCCAAGAATTACATATGCACCTCAAAAATCTATTGAAAAATGTTCTTTTAATGTTGAAAAAACCTCTAATTGATAATCTCAACATTGAAATGTATGAATATGAAAAAAACAAAACGATTTTGAGCCCCAAAAATAGTGCATCTTGCAATACATTATTTAACCGTCCATTTTCAAAATTTTCATATGTTTATAGATTTATTTGATTTTAACCATTTTTAAAGTTTAAAATTTTATACTCACATATAAAATGGATTTTGAGATAAGGACGAGGTTTGTATAGAGCCGAGGCTCTAAACTATCAAATTAGAGCCGACCTTCAAATAGTATCGAAAAATATAGTTTCAATATTAAAAATCTTTGACTAACCTTAAAAAATATTTCTTTTTTTATTTATAAAATTTAAAGGTTTAAAAGTAGTCTAGATCGAGCAGATCTATGAAAACTTGAATAACTTAAAAATTGACGGTCCAAAAATGCATTACAAGATGCACTATTTCCAGAACTTGAAATCCTTTTTTTTTCTCAAGTCCATGTATCTTGATATCAAGATGATCAATTTGATGATCAAAACAACCTCTTCTAGTGAAAATTTTGAATTAGGCTCTAATTTGATTGTTAGGCTCTATATAAACTTTTCCCTTAATATGATTTTAAGAACTTTTTCACCAAAATTATATGTTATAATAAATTTTGGAGGTATCACTTACTTGGATTGTTTAAGGTTGCAATCTTATGGAAGAAACCACAGGCAATACCAACAAAATTATGTATAATTACGAATAAAAAAAGAAAAATCGATTAATAAATGGAGATATACAGGATGAGGACGTTTTTGGTGGATGTTTTCATGTGCCACACACACCACGCTGCGTGGCACACGCTGCACAATGTGATTTTCGGAGCGGCCGGAAAGATGGACGGATACCTAGACACCGTCAAGGAGTTGGGGTGTGAGGTGACGGTACTCCATGGTAGAGACGATGAGCTATTGCCCGTCGAGTGTAGCTACGCCGTTAAATCAAGGGTGCCTAGGGCTAATGTTCAGGTGGTGGAGAAAGCGGACCACATAACTATTGTGGTCGATAGGCAAAAGGCATTTGCAAGAGAGCTTGAAGAGATTTGGGTGAGGAATTGCTGAAAACATTTGGCCTAAAAATACACAACACAGTGAGCCTGCCTCCTTGGAATTGTGGTGAGAGAAAGACAGGATTCATGGTGGCAACAAATTGGGGAATAACGATCTCTATCCAGTCAGTTTATCCTCTTCACTTGTTATTTGTGTTCCTCTCAATCCTTTAAATCCATAAACTGTAACCCTAAATCGTTTGTTCATCTCTCTCTCTAAAGGGTTCTTCTATGTCTCTCTGTTTTGTTTTTTGCTTCCATATTCTTGGAGTAAGAGAATGTTTGATTCTAATATTATTTCGAATCAAAGGCCCTTTGAATTACTCTTTAAGCTTTTTGCATTACTCTCTCTCTCTCTCTTAACTTTGAACGCCTATAAGACGGTTCTGCAGGATCATACTGTGATCTACTCCCCCTCTCAAAATGCCTATTTAGGAAGGTTATTTTTATTCTAAAATTTCAGGAACCATATAAATATTACTAGATGATATTTTTTAAATAAAAAATGTTGATCATTTAATCTTGAAGTATTAGTTTTTTCCGGTATATAGAAAGTCAGAAGGGAAAATTTTCTATGTGACCCCACCCGCATATAACGGCTTGAGTCACATTGTTACAAGCTAGTTCTTAATTGTCACATCTTTCTCATGGCTGTTTTTTTTTTTTTATTATTCTACAATAATTTTGAAGCAAAATCTAGGGCATTTATGGAATTAACAATGGTGGACATGATCAAAATAATAAAAAAATATTTCCGGATAAAAGTTACAATAATACCTTGGAAAATTGTAGGGGCATTTTGGTTATTTATTTTTTATATCTAGTTCTTAACCATCAGATCTTGCTCATAGTTGTTTATTTTTATTGTATAAATAATTTTGAAGTCAAATTTTAAGGCATATATAGTTCTGACAAGGGCATACATGATAAAAATAATAATAATAATTTCCGATGATAAAAATTACTAGAATATCTATAAAAATTGCAGTGGTATTTTGGTTATTTATTTTTATAAAAAATAATTGTTTTTTACTTTTCCAGGTTCACACTATGATAGGACGCCCAAAAATATTTTGTAAAAAAAATTAAAAAATTAAAAAGTGTTTGGCATGACATTGTGGTATGAATAATCACACCAAATCGAACAGCTAAAAAGTTGTCACATATAACTTATATGTTGTTGGCATCACATAGAAACATTTGCCTAGAAAGTTTATTTAATAGTTTTTTTTATTGAGATTAGCCTATGGGTAGTAGAAATCACATAAATGTAAGATCTAAAAATGTATTCCTAACATGTTTTTGCTAAAAAAAAAGTAAATAGATAGTGCATTCCTGCAAGAAAACTTTTTGGCCTTAACTTTTGAGCTGAAACCGTGTATATTTTGTGGATTTTGAACCATGGAGTGCATTAAACCATTCACGTTAGCCCACCATAATTGATGTCAGTTTGCCATAAATTGAGGGCGGGGAGAGAAGGCCTCACCATTTTATTGACTTTCGTATGTGTCCATGACTCGTACTATAGAAGCAATCCATGGGTATATGGAGTCATTTTTCTTGCAAATGTAAATAAATGTGGTAGTATTTGCGTTTGTTGGGCATTTAGGTACAGTTAGGTCGCTTACCCTTTTGTAGGTCCATGTCTGGCCATCAATTAAGCCAAGGACCATAGCAAAATATTAAGAGAACAAACACATTGAAAGTTGTATTTAGAGACAATGATTCAGGTAATTTAGTGGGATGCACATTATTTAATGAAGTTTTCACCAATACAATTATTCAGGTGATTTAGTGGGATGCACCTTTATTTAATGAAATTTTTACCAAACAAGAGTAAAATTTAAGTTTTAGAGAGAAACTAGTATTTTGAAATTTTAAAAAGAGAAACTATAACAAATTTTAAATAGAGAAACTACTAAAACTTTTAGAGAGAGAGAAACTATCTCAAATTTTAAAAGAGGGAAACTATATCAAATTTCAAGTTTTAGATAGAGGAAGTATATTAAAATTTTAGTGAGAGAAATTATATCATATTTTAGAGAGACAAACTACTTGAAAAATTTAGAGAGAGAACCATTCTCAAAAAATTTCAAGAGAGAAATTATATCAAATTATATATTTTAGATGAATAAAGTATCTTAAAATGTATATCAAATTCTAGATAGAGAAACTATCTGAATTTTTTAGAGAGAAACTATTTCAAGAATTTTAGAAAGCAGAACTACATCAAATTTGAATTTTTGGAGAGAGAAAGTATCTTAAAACTTTAGAGAGTAACTAATCAAATTTTAGAGAGAAATTATTTGAAAATTTTTAGAGAAAAAAAATATTTAAAAAATTTTAGAGAAAGAAAGTATCTCAAATTTTAAGTTAAAGTCTCTCAAAATTTAAAAGAGATAAACATATCAAATTTTAGAGACTGAAACTATGTCAAATTTTAGATACAGAAACTATCTTAAAATTTTAAAGAGATAAACGATCTCAAATTTCAAGTTTTAGATAAAGTATTATAAAATTTTAGAGAGTGAAACTATATCAAATTTTAGATAGATAAACTACCTAAAATTTTTTAGAGAGAAATATCTGAAAACTTTTAGTGAGAGACTATCTCAAAATTTCAAGTTTTAGAAAGAGAAAGTATCTTAAAATTTTAGATATATAAACTATATCAAATTTATGAAGAGATTCAATCTAAAAATTTTAAGGAGAAAAACTATCTCAAAATTTTTAGATAGAGAAACTATCTTAAATTTCAAGTTCTAGAGAGATAAAGTATCTTGAAATTTTAGAGAGAGAAATACCTAAATTTTTAGAGAGAGAAACTATCTTAAAAATTTTAAAATCAAAATTTAAGCTTTAGAGTGATGGGGTATCTTAAAAAAATTTAGAGAGTAACTATCTCAAATTTTAAGTTTTAGAGAGAGAAACTATATCAAATTTTAGAAAGAGAAACTACCTATATTTTATTAGAGAGTAACTATCTTTTAATTTTTAGAGAGATAAACTATCTCAAATTTTATGTTTTAGAGAGAAACGGCATCAAAATTTAGATAGAGAAACAACCTGAAACTTTTTCAAGAGAGAACTCTCTCAAAAATTTTAGAGAGAGAAATTATATCAAATTTCAAGTTTTAGAGAGAATGTATTTTAAAACTTTAGAGAGTGAAACTATATCGAGCTTAGAAAAAGAAATTACCTAAAAAATTTAGAGAGAGAAATTTTCTTAAAACATTTAGAGAAACTATATCTTATTTTAAGTTTTAGAGGGGGAAAGTATCTTGAAGTTTATTGAGATAAACTATATCAAATTTTAGAAAAAGATACTACCTGAAAACTTTTTGAGATAGAAACTTTCTAAAAAAATTTAGAGGGTGAAATTTTCAACTATCTAACATTTCAAATTTTAAGAGAGTGAAACTACCTCAAAATATTTTGAAGAAAAACTGTATCAAATTTAAAGTTTTAGACAGTTTTTTCTCTAAAAATATTGAGATAGTTTCTCTCTCTAAAATTTTTTAGGTAATTTCTCTCTAAAATTTTATATAGTTTATCTCTCTTAAATTTTGGTAAAATTTTTTAAAGAAAATTATATACATATCCGTTATACTTTACGTCATTACGGATCTACCAAATACTTTCCGTTATTACATTTGTGTCCGATTTTTATCTTCCATAATGCCTTTATTAAAAAAAATAACTTTGCTCTTTTTCGGATGTTCAACATTCGAATTTTTGCAATTTTCGAATGATCAACATCCGAAAATAGCTGCAGCTCCAATAATGATTTTTGTCATTTTCGGATGTTCAACATCCGAATTTCTGATATTTCGGATGTTGAACATCCGAAATTTTTCGCGCCAACATTTCCCACGTACAGGCGTAGACTTATTTATTTTTATTTTTATAAAGTTGAAAAAAAACTGAGCATTGAATCATCATACCCCTTTTACTGTCCCTTATTACAGTAAACCACAAAGTTAAAGAGATTGACTTACTATTTGGACATGATTGGTACCATTCTTACTATTTTCTTTTACGGTTGATTAATTGAAGTTTATTATCTGTTATTTTTTAGGATATTTTATTTTGTTAATAATATTTGTTGTGCCTTTTTTATTAATAAAATGAATTTGTTTAATATTGATGAAGTTATTTGTTTTACATAATTATTTGTTGTTTGTATAATGTTGATACATTGTATTCCTTGTTTTGGCTAAATAATTGTTAAACTTGTTTGTTTGTATTAAAATTTGTTGTTTATTTTGTGTTTATGTGAGTATTTGTTGTTTTCTTTTGTTTAATGTTTATTACTCACAATTTTAGTAGTACACTATTTTATTCTATTATGTAATACTCATATTTTATAAACCCTAAATTAGTTAGAAATATCTCAATTTTTGGTAATTTTTTTGTATTGATTTTTTGTAACATAAATTTTGTTGTTCATTTAATACAGTAGTATTGACGATAGCTACTGCGGGAGTGCAACTGGTATTTCGATATGGGGGGTCATTTGAGACGAATGCAGATGACAGATGTGTTATTTATAAAGGACGAAAACTGACGGTCACCAATTATAATGGGAATAGTTCCTTGGAGGAACTAAAAAGTCATTTTGCTAATTTAACCAAGTGTGATCCAAGCAAATTTGCTATTATGTACCACAACATAAGTCCATCTAGTGGGCTTGATTTGATTGATGTTAGTGATGATATAGATGTATCTTTTATGTTAGGAGGGGAATATTCAAGAATTGTAGTATATATTGTCGAGCCACAACAAGCATTTGTTGCTGAGGGACCATCTTCAAGGAATAGGTATATCTACAAATTATTTTTTCATCTGTAAATTGCTTTATTTTAATCTTATATGTACAGAAATTGTTACTTCATCTTACATTCTATCTTTTGTCAATAGTCAGCGTAACGCTTTACCTGAGCAAGATCAAAATATTGAAGTGGCACCCAACCTTGAGCTCGTACCAGAGCGTGATAGGGAGGATATTGAACCACTAAAGAGTCGATATAGAGGAGTTGGTAACGAGGTTCAATTAAATGTTTGGCAATTTTTTAAAAATATTAATGAATGCCGATATCATCTAGTTTATTTTGCAATCCACAACAATTTTGTTTTAACATTTAACAAAAGTGAATTAGGACGGGTGTGGGCAAGTTGCAAGGCAGAGGGATGCACATGGCAAGTGTGGTGCTTGCGAGTTGGCAGTATCGCATACTTTAAAGTGAAATCTATGGTTAAGAAGCACACATGTAGTGATCCAATGCGGAGGGTCCATCAGCCACTAGCTCGTAGTGATTGGATG